CGCCGAGTCTGTCTGGAATTCACAGATCCTGCCTGGAGAGGGGCCTCCTGGAGGAGGCCTGGCACCAACTGTGGAGATTCCACTGAGCCTATCCACCAGCACCTGAAAGAGCGAGGTCAGCCCAGGAGTGGGCTCGGCCTGACTCGTGCTGGGCATCCACTTTTAGAAGGGACATGACATGGACTGCCCCAGGGGACCAGGAGTAGTCAGGAATGATCCTGTAAGAAGCGCTTGGGATGAGTGCAGGGTGGGGCTCAGGACAGAGCAGGTGCCCGCCTGCTGGACAGAGCGCAAGGAACGCATCCTGGGCGGAGCAGGGTGACCTGCCTGCCCGTGCGGAGGCATGCTGTTCCTGCTGCGCTCACTGCTGGGAGAGTCCCGTGCTGCTGCAGGCACTGGTCCTGCCATGCGGCTGCTGGGCCAGAGTGCCGGTGTCAGAACCAAGGACGCCCATTCCCCCGAGTGGCTCTTCTGGGACCAGGTGTCCAGGCAGGGCTGAAGGAGGGAGGGCAGAGCGAGTGCCCTGTGTCAGATCGCCTCGGTCTGCCTGGCACTGTGGCCTGCACTGCCCCTCCATGCCCTCGGTTGTGGTACATCGCAGTGGCTTTGAGCCCAGGACACTGTGCCATGCGTGGAAGTCCGAGGGAGAGACTGAGCACGGGAAGGGGACCTGCTCCTGTGGGAGGACCGGCCAGGAGAGGTCTGGGCTCGAGGGAGAGGGACGGCCTGGAGAAAGGTGAGTGAGGGAGTGAGGCAGCTCGTGGTTCTGGCCCTGCTTCCGCTCAGCAGCCTTCGGTCTCCAGGTTTCTCTTCTAGGTCCCCTTTGTAGTGATCCGAGAGACTTTAGGGATTTCTTGGCCCTCCAAGCAGACCTCTTGACGCGATGCGTTGGTGCAGCTCGTGCCTGCCGTAGCGCTCAAGCCGTTTGTGCAGCCCCCATCGAAGTGGCACTACCCCAAGGGTCTGGGCTTTTCGCTTCTGATTGTCAGCAGGGAGAGCACTCACAGTACAGAGGTAGTGAGGCCCGGTTTGTTGTGTTTCCCTCAGAACCCTGTCTTCAGGGGTGGTGCGGGTTGTATTTGCAGGAGGAGCCACTGACCTGCTTGAGCCCAGTCAGGGCCAGGGGAGGCCAGGCGAGAGACGATGGTGAGCTGGAGCAGGAGTGAGCAGGTGCTGGCCAGGGTCTCCCTACTGCCACACAGCCCTGCGGGCCGGGCAGACGTCCACGCCACGGCCGGAAGGAGTACACGGTGCAGAGGGGAGATGGCACCCCGTGTGACACCCCAAGGACCACACTCAGAGGTCCAGCACACATGCCAACACGTGTGTGCGGGGAGAGAGCGCTGGTGACCCAGAGCGACTGTAGGCAGCAACTGTCTTGGGAAGGGACTGCTGGACTTGTAGAAACCGGGCCTTTCACTTTGTCTTCTTCCTGTGTTGTGTGCCCTCTCAGCGGGCACGTGTCAGACACAGAACCTGCTCAGAGGGGAGCCCTGCAGGGATGAGGAGGGAGGGGGCCGTCACTGAGACCAGTTAGGTCGGAGACGGGCCTGGCCTTTTCCATCGCTTTTCCATGCGTGCATGTCTGAGCACACAGATCAGAAAGCTGCAGGGGTGCTGAGCACGTTCAGGTCGGGGCTCCAGGCAGTACGTGCCCTCCTGGCAGGGGCAGGCGTAGCAGGCAACCATGTCCCTGAGGTTGCCCCTGCCCTGCCCCGCATGGCTCCCCGCACCACCCTGTGTGGGCCTGTGTGGCATCCCCCGCTGCCTGGAGGTACATGGGCAGAACATGGAGGTTTTGGGAGGAGGTGACCTTCCGTGTGCTGGGAGTCCAGGTGGCGCTGTCCTCAGCAGTCAGAGCGCACGGGCAGACTGCCCACTGTGTCTGTGAGGGCGGGGAGCCTGCACAGCATGCCCCGGGGTGCTCTGTGACAGCGAGGGCCAGGGAGCCTGCACAGGACACCCCGGGGAGGACCCTGGCTGGCTGTGTCTGTTTGGAGGGCCCAGCCAGCGACTACTCACAGCTCGTGGGTGGAGGGAGTGAGTGTGGAGGCTGGGACAGAGGAGGAGGCCCCAGGACTGGCAGCGGGAGGGCGTGCTGGCCTTCTCCTTACTGGGGTCCTTCAGCTTTGGCTTTGAGATGCGGGAGCATGGCAAGGGCTTGGGCCTCTCCCACGTTAGCGAGATCCCTGCTGCTTGGTGTGGACTCTGGAGGGTCACACGAAAAAGACCAAGCAGGGACCGAGGCAGCGGCGACTGGGCCTTGTAGCTTGTGCCTTCCCTGAAGGGCTCGGGAGGGCAGGGCTCCAGGACCAGAGGAGAGTTGGACCTACGCATGGCTGCCCCGTGCTGCCTCCAGCATCAAAAGCAAGCTGTGGGAGCAGCCTGGTCGACAGGTCTGGACCGCAAGTCCCAGGGTGGAGGGAAATACTTGAGGGAGTCACAGCTGAGACGTCGCCAAATTTGGCTAAGACGCTGATATAAGAAGCTCACCAGGACCAGCAGTTAGCATAATGGCTATGTCGCTGGACTCCCACATAGTCGACCGCGGTTCGTGTCCCGGACCCAGTGGCTTAAACTCATGCCAGGCGTGTGTGTGTGTGGGTGCCCAAGATCCCGAGAGGGGAATGGAGGAGAAGGGATTGCGGCGTGGCCATCCCCCCGGGGGGTGATTTCTCGCTTTCTATCTCTCTGTCTCTCTCTGTCTGGCGAGCGCACACGCCCTCGAGGCAGCGGCGACTGGGCCTTGTAGCTTGTGCCTTCCCTGAAGGGCTCGGGAGGGCAGGGCTCCAGGACCAGAGGAGAGTTGGACCTACGCATGGCTGCCCCGTGCTGCCTCCAGCATCAAAAGCAAGCTGTGGGAGCAGCCTGGTCGACAGGTCTGGACCGCAAGTCCCAGGGTGGAGGGAAATACTTGAGGGAGTCACAGCTGAGACGTCGCCAAATTTGGCTAAGACGCTGATATAAGAAGCTCACCAGGACCAGCAGTTAGCATAATGGCTATGTCGCTGGACTCCCACATAGTCGACCGCGGTTCGTGTCCCGGACCCAGTGGCTTAAACTCATGCCAGGCGTGTGTGTGTGTGGGTGCCCAAGATCCCGAGAGGGGAATGGAGGAGAAGGGATTGCGGCGTGGCCATCCCCCCGGGGGGTGATTTCTCGCTTTCTATCTCTCTGTCTCTCTCTGTCTGGCGAGCGCACACGCCCTATAGCAAAAATCCCAAAAAAAAAAAAAAAAAGAAGCTCACCAAGCCCCAAGCACAAAATGAAACATCAAAATGAAGCAAAACCGTCATGATGAAAACATACCAAGATGCGTTGTCGTCAAGTTGCTTAAAAGCAGTAATAAAGGGAAAATATGGAGGTACTCAGAGAGAAAGCACCAAGTACAAAGGGACAGGGTTAGGGTGATGACACCTCTAGTCTCCGAACAGTGCCAGCCCGAAGACAGCGGGACATTCTGAGCATCAAAGGAAGAGAGAAGTTAACTTAAATGTCAGAATTCAGTGAACGTGTCTTCTGAAGTACATGTCCTGAGACCCCTGCTCCCTGGAAGTGTCCCTGCAGCGCGCCTGACACACGTCAGAGCAGAGGCTTGCTGGGCACGCTGGCTGGTGACGCAGCTCGGCTGTCTACTGGGATGTCGTATTTACAGTGTTTGCATAGAGGGGAAATGTGCTTTCCCAAGTCTCCGACCTAACTGGGGTGACAGACTTGAGTTTGCCGTGCAGCAGCTGAGACGCTCGTGGGGTAACTATCAGGCCCCCAGGTCCGGCAGGCGGTCACTTTCCTGGCTCCCCTGAGGACTGGGTGCTGCTCACAGGGCCCCCTCCTTGCTGGTGGGGTCGGGTCGGCGTGGCGGGACACGGAAGGCGGACAGGGCAGGTGAGCAGCTTAGTGCTTGGGTCCCTTGCATGTTGACGTTGGGGACGTGGAGAAAGTGAGTCGGAGCTCTTACTAAACCCCAGGGGCCCAGGCAGGAGACAGGAAAATGAAAGACGATTAGAGTCTGGGTGGTAAATGGGTATTTAGACTTTAAATGAGCGAAGACAGAGACTTGTGGTTATAGTGCTGTTTTTAACTCAGATGAAGTTATTTCTGATTTTAAAAAGGTGAAAGAAGTTCATTTTAATCACTGTATTAAATTTTAGCAGATAGCAAGCCATGCTATGAAGGAGAGGCGTTGTATGTCCCCACTTAATATATACCGAGTGTCTGCACCCTAAATGTGTATATACATATTTGAAACCATACTGCTTCTGTTGTTATAGAGTTATAAAATTATACAAAATTATCAGACACATTTTGAACATTATCTTTAAAATTCAGTATTTTGAAACTTTGAAAGTTGTTTGTAAACTGTCAAGAATTATGGAGTATGAGCTAAAATTCTTTGCTATGTAAAGTAAATGTTTGTGGAAAAATGTAAAATAAAAACAAGTTGTAATTAAAATAAAATAAAATAAATTTTAGCAGGTAATATTTCAGTAACCGTGTCTGTTGGAGTGAAAACGTGGCAGGCATTAGCTGGGAGGAAACCGTGTCCCCTGTGTCCGCACGTCTACGGTGTGGCAGCAGAGCCCTCATCCCCACAGTTGGTACGCCCACTGGCACAGGCCAGGGGAGGGAGGCCCAGTCAGGGAGGCCGAGGCGGGACTCAGAGGACAGGTGAGTGGAGGAGCCGGCTCCGTGGCGGGAGTGCGTGTCCTCTCAGAGCAGAGCGGGAGTGGGGCCTGCTGGAAGGAAGCAAGAGCTCGAGCTGGGCAGCGGGCAGGGGCAGTGCCAGGGCCTCGGACCCAGGCAGGGGCGT